TGGTTATTGAGAAAGAGTGTGTGATGTGCGCGTGAATTCTCTTTTCACCCTCACGCCAACATCTGCCCAGACACCTACATTACAGGCTCATGCCCATCTACATATTAACCCATACCGATCCGTACCCATCCGCGTCCACATCCGCATTTATCCCACACTCGCGTCCACGTCGAGAGTCACATCCGTACACATCCACAACTGTAGCCATATTTAACTCCATCAGACACTTACAGCTATGTTCAGATCGTTTTTAGTACTAATTAATAGATCTCATCGAATTTAATCTGGTACAAATAGTTTCTCAGTTGACCCAGTTCTTGGACCGAGTATTTGGTGGAAATTCTTGGTCTTTTACTAAAGACAGCGTTTCAAAAATAGTTTTTTTAATATGTTAAAAGTTTTTCACAGTAGAAATTTTTCGAAAAGGTATGCAACCAATACTATAGTCGGTGCAATATCTGGTAGAACCACTAACGTTCTCAGCACAAGTCTATTGGAGAAATTTTTCCGAAAAAACGCATATCCGCTGCTAATGTCACCGACGTTTTTTTTATATATAAATACCTATTAAAGGCACATTAGCCATTCGTAGAATTAAGCCAAACGTAATGAATATATTGTGATATGTGTTAAATTTTCTTTTCTTTTTTATTCGTTACTCAACCTTCTATGATAAAAGACAAAACTTACCAACCAATTTTTAAGTCTATCTTCTCTCCCTATACGGTATTATTTCCTCCAACATAAGATCTCACTAGTCTACTAATTTACGATAATGACACTCTCACTTCCTATCATTGTATCTTTCTTCTTGCTATATTATTCTTATCTTTCTATTTACTACTTTTTAATTTATTTTTATCTTGCATTGTAAACCTGTTCTTAAAGAGACAATGAAACTTCATGTAAAAAAAAGAGCAAACAAAAGTTACAAAGATTTATTTTAAAATAAATGATATTGTTAGATTTTTTGCCATAACAAGCACAAGAAATCTCTCAGAGTCAGGCTACGAAGCCGCCTGACAGGCTGTAATAAAAGATGGATTCACTCCCTCCTCACACAATAGTAAGCCATAAGAAAAAAAAAACTACACTAACATATAAAGAAAAAGCTTTCTAATTTTATTAAAACCAAATCGATACTTTAGCTTTTGTAGACCTCATGCATATTTTCGAAGGAAATAATAATGAGCAGAAGTTTAAATTTGAGACTTCGGCAGCTCCTCCTAGACCCCAGCAACCAAGGACGAGAAGTCAAAAATTATTAAGTCAATTTTCATAGCAACAGGAAGCGAAGAAGTCAAAAGCTATTGGGTATGCTTCCACAACAACGGAAAAAGGTGCATAAATAATAACAATGTTTAGATCGTTTTGGAACTATAAAGATTCTAAATAATCTAAATAATGTGGGTTTCAGTTTTTAATGCATCGAAAGAGTATTATTGCAAGTGCCAATCAGTAGAGTGATAGTATTCTTGATATAGCAGTCTGAATAGGCGAACGGACAAAGTAAAGACTAAATGAATTCTAAGTGTTAGGCAAAACTCCACAATGTATGCCAAAGTTCGTCGAGAGAAAGCATGGTGTGCTCGGAAGCCTGCTGAACGATTAAATCAATATCTACAGTGGACTAATATGGTAGTTAAACCAACGAAACGAAGAGTAAAATGTTATTTGCTACTACTTATGGTATACATCACATATATTATCATTAAAATAAAAGAAGTTATGCATTGAAGAGGTGTGTAACAATACGGATAGATTTTTCCAGTATAATGATGTTAAATGAATCAACTAAATTGATAGAATATTAATTCGAAACATAAACATTTTCAACGTAATAAAATTTCAGAGCGCACCTAACAACTACGAAAATTGTTATAATTTTGATTTATTCATTTATTTGGAATTTTTTTTTTAAATAAAAATTTATTTTGAAGACTCTGACAATATGCCATGAATTTATAACAAGGAGAATTTGTGAGTTTCACACTTTGGTCCCTTATGGGATCGCACTGACAGGTTTTTCATTCTAAATTTCGTCTATCATCAACATTCATGTTTCATTTATCTTTCAATCTAAAGTAATTAAGCATAATATATACTCAGTAAAATAATTTCATTTCGAGTTTACAAAGGCTTTTTCTTGCACGAAAATAATAAAAGTCAAGCAATAGAATATATATGACATGTTTTCATTAAAAAAAAGAAACAAACACAATGTGTTGTCTAAGTAGAACAAAAAAAGAAGAGAATCACAATGTCATAATAATTATTTGTTATAATATGGTCAAACGGTCTCGTAGAGTACTGGAGATCCTTTTTCTANCAACGTAATAAAATTTCAGAGCGCACCTAACAACTATGAAAATTGTTATAATTTTGATTTATTCATTTATTTGGAATTTTTTTTTTAAATAAAAATTTATTTTGAAGACTCTGACAATATGCCATGAATTTATAACAAGGAGAATTTGTGAGTTTCACACTTTGGTCCCTTATGGGATCGCACTGACAGGTTTTTCATTCTAAATTTGGTCTATCATCAACATTCATGTTTCATTTATCTTTCAATCTAAAGTAATTAAACATAATATACACTCAGTAAAATAATTTCATTTCGAGTTTAGAAAGGCTTTATCTTGCACGAAAATAATAAAAGTCAAGCAATAGAATATATATGACACGTTTTCGTTAAAAAAAAGAAACAAACACAATGTGTTATGTAAGTAGAACAAAAAAAGAAGAGAATCACAATGTCATAATAATTATTTGTTATAATATGGTCAAACGGTCTCGTAGAGTACTAGAAATTCTTTTTCTAAAAGATCATGTACATTTTTCAAAGAAGATGATTTCATGGTTACTATATCTTCAGATGTATCGATTAATATTGTTGATGTATTTTTTTTTGTCAATGCCAATATTAATTGGTAAATGAGGACGACAATAAAGAAAACATAACATAACCATCCGATCGAGCAAGATCTTTGCCATATGATAATGATGGTACAACTTCCAACATCAAAATTTTTTCGACCTACGGAAAAAAATTAAATATGAAGAAAAATCTCTTCACTAATTTCAGTTTTAGCTCAATCATTATATGGTAAAAGTCTTACATAGGATGTATAATATCCAAACTATATGTTCTCATGACAACCCATATGTACCAAATAAATCATAACGAGATTGAGATGAATCTATTGTTGTTGAACAATATGGAGACCATACTAAGATCACTAAAAGAAATAGAAAAACACTTATTTTTCAAATAGTTTTTTTTATTTTTATTTTTAAATACATACTTAAATGAAAACACATTTAAGTTGACTGGATTGTTTTGCAACATTAGTTTTAATCTAAAAAATGAAGAGCATTTTTCTTTATTATAAAAGGTGGGTAAAAATGTTTTTTCAGGGGGAACGCTGCGATTTTAAACAACATTAATTAAATTTGATACCAAATTAAAACGCGTCGAAAATCGAATTTATCAATACTGAATAGTACGAATTATGGCAACTTTTTAGTGCCCAACTCAGGAAATTCCTAAAATTTTATCCCATATTAGCAGAGACAAATTCCTTTCTTGAGACAGTTCAAACTAGATGTCATTTAAAATGATGAATATCACAAAGTATTGAGTACGTGATCTGAAAGCACTGGAAAAATAATCAAAAATGAAGCTAAAAAAAAAACTGCTAGTAAAGACGAAACACAGTCAATATGATGAATGATCTCTAAAAAAATCATTTTTCATATGTTTTGGCGAACATCGAAATAAACACTGACCTATATCAAATTATTTTACATTCTTATCCGTTTCATCTTGCTGCTTTAAAAATGCTAATGGTCGTTGTACTGATTATTGATTATATTCATGAAATCTTAAAAAATAAATATTATCTTTTGATATTCATCATTTTATGTGATATCTAGTTTGAACTGCATCATGAAAAGAATTTTTCTCTATTGACATAGCGTAAAATTTTAGGAATTTCCTGAATTTAATACTGAAAAGTTACCTTACTTCTTATTATTTAGTTCTGATAAATCCCATTATTTTCGACGCACTTTAAGTTGGTATAAATTTTGTTTTTTTTTCTATCAGAATCGACATATTGTAAGATAGATTTTTGAACATAAACAATGAGAGTAATTTCAAAAATCTCTATGATTTCGCATCGAGTTTTTAACTGTAAACAATACTGCACTTATCTTCCAAATCTAAATTCAGTGCTTTCGCTGTAGGTAGGATTTTGAAAAGCTTTGTTAGTCTGGTCTTAATTGTACCCGAAAAGTTTTTGTGATTGTGGCCAAAAAATGATGCTTATGCATATCTCTAATAAAGATTCCCATGTGATACAAACTGGACAAAAACCGCTGATGAACCGTCGATAGATGCTTCGGTATATCGACGGCAGTGCGAATAAACTTGCAACAGGAATCGTTTTGACTAACCTGTATATGACTGATTTATATACAGCAGAAGTATTCATGACGATGCTACCGCCGTCGCTGCAATGGCAGTGATAGTTTTGTTTTTAGGAAGATTGTAAAAGTGCAAATATTGCTGCTCGATTTGAGTGTTTACAAGTTCAACGGTCAGAACCGTGGTGAATCTGATGAATTCAATCTAACTGTACCTATTTAGGATAGTGACGGAAGAGACTTTCGAAGAATTTCTCGAAAACGATCGCAACAGAGGCAGATTTCCAGTCGCAATGAACATTTCTGATACACAGATATTTTTTTTTCAAATTTATGGCTGACTTGCAGTGACATCTATGATATTTTTTTTTTGAAAATATAAAAATTAATATTTATTTCTTGTACAAAATCGTCACGAATTTGGTTTTCCATGAAAAAAACTAGGAAAAAAATACAGATCAGATTCATTCTTAAGTATAGATACGTTGCAAGTGTGTCTGAGCAACATTTATAATATTGTTTCATATTATTAGTTTAAGTATTACTTCGTCATTATCTTGATGAAAAACATGAATTCGTTAGGTAACGAAGAAAACGCTGCTCTTCTTCTAGCATCAGCTGATGATGATGGTAATGAGCTAAGTCAATCTTCATCAAGAGTTAAACAAGATAATATTCCAATAGTTTCTAAACGTCCAAAAACTTATCAACGTCATCGTCCTAGTAGAAGTCATCCTGTTTTAATTTTTCTTCTTATTTTATGTGCATTTATACTGGGATGCGTCAGTGGTGTTGCTATTTTACTTTATCGAATGTCTCAAGATACTGAACAATCCGCATCATCGTTTATTAATTCACCATCTTTAACAAAAATTGATTTAACAATACAAACAAAAATTTTCCAATCAATAATAAAAACAAATTTTCTTAATCTTAATCGGTAGAATTAATTAAAAAAAAATTTATTTTATTTTATTTTATTTTATCTTTAGTTCAATTGAATCTGAAAATGATGCTGCAAATAAATTAGAACAAAATTGGCAATCATTATCAAATATATTTACTCGTGTGAATAAACTTTCATATGATTTAACTCTTTCAACATATTCTCCATCAACACAATGGAGTGGTATTCAATTACTTGATAAAACAAATGATAAAGAACTAGCCAAATTTAATCTTTTACCAACAAATGATTATTTAACATTTTCATCATTTATTAAATCTGGAAGAATAAATGCAAATTATATTTATTATGTTAATTATGGTCGACAAGAAGATTTTGCTTATTTAATTAATAATAATCAAATACAATTTGAAAATAATGATCATACAATTATTTTTATGCGTAGAAAATCAACAATTATTTCTCAAACAGAACAAATTCGTCAAGCAATACGTTATGGTTTTGTAGGACTTGTTTTATTTGATGATAATGAATTAAATCAACAAATAACAACAACAAATGATCGACAATCATTTTCTAATGAATGGAGAAGACTCTCAACAGAAAAAGGTAAATACTATAGAATAAAATTTATAGTTTTTTTTTTTAATTTTTATTTTTTCAAGACCGACAAAAATTCCTTGATGGTATTTCCAATGACGATGATCGTCAAATATCTGTTTTAATTCTTTCATATTCTGATGTTGAAAAAATATTTTCATCTGATACAAATAAATGGTTATCATGTCCAATTCAATGGCATAATAAAACAACATCACTTAAATTAGGTGGTTTACTTCAACAAACAAAACTTAATTTAATAACATTTATGCAAGAAGTACCAGTACATTTACCATTTGTACTTGGTTATATACGTGGTACAATTGATGCTGATCGTTTTATTATGATTGGATATCAATTAGGTAGAAAACAGCAAGAAAAAATTATTAACGAAATTATTCTAGCTTATGAAAATCAAATAAAAAATGGTTGGCGTCCAAGGTTTGTTTTTATTGACTTGTATCATATACATGCATCGAGTAGAGTTCATCGGGTCCAAAATTTTTCGACTCGACCAGGGTCAACCAGACGAGTTCTAATATCGATTGACTTGAAATATTTGCAACATCGCATGATTTTGTTTCTATCTCTGCACAAAAATAGAATAATAAAAATTAGAATTTTTTTCTCAAAAGATGCACCATTTGTTTCTCTATTAAAATAGAAATGAAAAGTACAATTAAGTTTTTTTTTGTGGTAATGTTGTATAAGTCTTCAAGTAAATATTTTCTTGATGACGCTATGTCTTACAGTTCTGAGAATAAAAAAAGACTTTATTGCTATGTTGTAACGACAAATTGTCCAATCGTACAAATTTTTATGGATTCTTCGTGAAGACATATGAGCAAAATACGCGATGTTGCAATCATTTTGACTGACGCAATATATATGTATACATGAAATTTAAAATAATCATTATAGTCATTTATTGAGATATTATAAAAAGTTCATTATCATAGTGATCATTAGTTAAATAATATCATACCACTTTAATGCATGAAAAAAATAGCATAATAGATAAATTGAATTAGTTACTGAATCGAAAGAGTTAGATGAGTTCGTGGATACTACAACTGTATTAAGATTCTCATCTATTACCATAAACTTTCACGAATATAACATCCGCTAATCAATTTTAAACAGACACATTGGTTACTGTTTTTAATTTCACAGTTAATAGTGCATTTGGTTGTGTGTGTGTACATAAAGAATGTCATTCTACCGAATAGATATTCTGCTTTTATTTATTGTCAAATTAAACTTCCAAAACGTTCGCATAACAGAGATTTCGGATTATTATCAGTTGCCTAGTGCATACAAATTTTTGATGAAAAATCAAGACAAGATTAGTTAAAATGGCGTTATTTAACGCAGATTGAATTGGTTTTAGTCTTGTTTGATCGATTAAAAAAAAGATTAAAATTAAACAAAATCTATTTTTAGACACGTGAAAACTGACACTTCTATCTTAGTCAACTAATGCCATTTTAATCGATTATTTGTTAGAAAAAATCGATTAAAATTAGATTTTTTTCCTCTGTTTTCTTACGTGGGAAATTTCCCTTGAAAAGAAAGGAATCAAGTTTGGAACACATGGCCCGAGGGAAAGTCTCTTTGATAGGAACGACCTATTTCGAGGACTGGTACCAGTACTAATGTCCCTGTCATAATTAAAGAGAAGTATGTATAAGCTCAATAACTCGACAATGACAGCCGCTAGCAACCTGTGGTTCTTAGCAATTGAAAGAGGATAACTTAGAACGCCTTTTAATCTGATACTATATAAGATAAAATTATTTTAGAACTTATTATCTTCGCGAAACATTGTNAGCACTAAATATAATTGAACGTCTAAAAGAAATAAATTTTACATGTATGATTGTTTAATTAGATTAAAAATAAATAATAGCTATTTCAGTCTACATTAAGATTATAAAGAACAAACTTGATCGATTTGGTTTACAATAATGTTCTTCATGATTACTAAAGTTTCTCATTCTGTTTCATTCTCGATCAAGTTTGTTCTTTATAATCTTAATGTAGACTGAAATAGCTATTATTTATTTTTAATCTAATTAAACAATCATACATGTAAAATTTATTTCTTTTAGACGTTCAATTATATTTAGTGCTTGGTCAGGTTTATCATATGATCATTATACAAGTGAGAGAAGAAAATGAAAATTTTAATAAGATTATTTTTTTTTTGTCTTTTTTTATATTTAGTACGTCGTTGGATTTCAGATAATTATCGTCTTATTGATAAAAATTTAATTGCATATATTGATCTTGGAAATGGTATTATTGGAAATTCTACACTTAATTTACATGGTTCACCATTACTTCAACAAATTGCTCAACGTGCTGCTGAATCTGTTGTTAGTCCACTTATTCATAATCATACATGTCATCATCGTCAAAAACAAGTAACAGAAACACATTCACATGTTCATCGAAGACGACGTGATGAAGGACATGAACATCATAGTGAAATAAATCAACAAAAAGAAGAAACTGAATGTGAACCACATAAATTATTAGATGAATGGATGAGAGCTAGTAAAAATAGAATTGGATCAAATAACACTTTAGGTATCATTCAAATGATTGATATGGATTCATCAGCAGCATTATTTCAATTACAACATGGAATTCCATCAATACTTATTGAAATGACTGATGAACAGGTATTATATAATTTTCTTTTCTTTAAAAAAAAACAAAAAGTTTAAATCGAGTTATTTAAAAGACAATGTAAGCTCTGATTTTCATTAAGGAGTTATTAGATGACTAATGCATAAATGTTACACTTTGTCATATAGGTAAAATTTTAAAACTGTCCTTGTTTTTTTCCAACTATAATAGTGTGACGATACAACATGAAATATGTAACGATATGTCTCTTTTTTTGTCGATATGCATCAATGAAATGTATGAGTTACTCTTCATTCTCCTCCTTCTTTTTTTGCTCTTCGTTCACTAATATACACTGTACTTAGAAATTTCCGATAATTTTTTTCTTGCATGATTGCGCACATAATATTTTTTTTTAAAATAACATCGCAATGTATTTTATACAAATACATATAATTGTCATTACTGTCAGAAATTTTAAGTATGTTGACTAATAACATAGTAGACTTCTTTCTTTTTCTATAGTTTCTGACATTTTTTTTTCATATTGATTGACACTAGAATAATCTTGATATTTTTTAATAGGCATTAACAAATGATACATTTTATTTACAAAAATCTCCAACTGTTTTTAGCAATGAAATCACACCAGAAGTTTGTATTTCTTCTTTACTTTTGTAAAATTGAATCTATTTTAATAAAAGGTTATTGTGGCTTATGCACAATTTGTATCTGAAATAATTCGACAATTAATTGATGAGCCGTTAATACCATTTAATTTAACTGATTATGCTAATTTAATTGATAGACAGATGGTTGATTATTTTGCTCATTATGATAGAGCATATCATGCATTAGGTTCTCATCTTGGTGATTCTAGTAAGATAATTAATATATTATTTTTTGTTATTAATAAAAATAAATTTTAGGTGAAATGATGAAACTAATCAATGATTTAACAAAAACTATTCGACAAATTCAATCACATATTGATCAAACATCTAAGAATGAGTATGAAAATTAAATAACAGAGAATATTTTCTTAATTTTTTATTTAATAGCTATGTTAGTTTTCAAGTATTGAATGAAAAACTTATGGAATTCGAACGTCTATTTATAACTGATGATCAATTACGTCGAATGAATACAGCAGATGAAACATACAAGTAATCATTATTTTATTTTATTCTAAACTATACCAAAAGAAAAAACAACAAATTTTTTTAGACATGTTTTCATTGGTCCAGCTTTTGGTCTTACAAATACCGTTGTACCATTTCCATCATTATCAAATATTTTATTCGGTATTGGTAATGATCCACAAACAGAATTATGTGATGCATCAAAATTATATTGGTCAAAATTAAAACAACATTTTAGATTAATTACACGAACATTAAATGGACTCGATGGTCTTCTTTCAAATTCTTGAAAAAAGAAAGAATATTAACATTAAAATTCTTTTTTTTTTGTTTTTTGTTTATAAATGCTGACGTCAGCAGTATTGTTCTTTTCTTTTTCAATTTTTTGTGTGTTGTCAGATGTATATTTTAGTCTGTTTTTTATTCGAGCAAGCACACAAATTTCATTCCGTGTAGCCATTTCATTCTCTTGCTGTTCTCTAAAATCTTGCAAAGCTATTGGTCTGAGTCATTATTACATCTTTGGTTTCTTCCTTTCTCTTTTTTTTCTCTTATATATAACATTACTTGTTGTTTTATTTGTAGATCATTCGATCGTTGTTTTTTTACTAATTCGTCTCTCTCATTCGTTCGATATTCATCACAATGGTTAAAGATACGAAATATTATGATATTCTTGGTGTACAACCAAATGCAACAGTTGATGAAATTAAAAAAGCCTATCGTAAATTAGCTTTGAAATTACATCCAGATAAAAATCCAGATAATGATCCAGAACAATTTAAACAATTATCACAAGCATGTAAGTTTTTAATCGAAGAAAAATAAATAAAAAGAATTCTATTTGTTTTTTATTTGTTTGTCTAGATGAAGTTTTATCTGATGAAAAAAAACGTTCATTATATGATCAAGTTGGTGAACAAGGTATGAAAGAAGGTGCTGGTGCCGGTGGATTTCATGGTTCAGATCCATTCGATATTTTCAACATGTTTTTTGGTGGTGGTGGAAGTCCATTCGGTTCTCGACAGGAACATCGTGGAAAAAATCTTGTTCATCAATTAGCAGTTTCATTAGAAGAACTTTATAATGGAGCTGTTAGAAAATTAGCTTTACAAAAAAATGTTGTATGTGATAAATGTGAAGGTACGAAAAAAAAAAAAAGCAAATTTATATTTTTCTTTTCATTGAATATTTTATTTGTGTTTAGGTCGTGGTGGGAAAAAAGGTGCCGTATCAAAATGTACAACATGTAATGGTAGTGGTTTTGTTGTTCGTGTTAATCAGATAGCACCGGGTATGATACAACAAATTCGATCACATTGTTCAGATTGTGAAGGTCAAGGAGAAAAAATCAATGCAAAAGATAAATGTAAAACATGTGACGGAAAAAAAATTGTTCGCGAAAGAAAAATTATTGAAGTTCATATTGATAAAGGTAATGAAAAAAAAATAATAATTATTTGTTTTTCAAGAAAAATAATTTTACTTTTTTTTTTTTTTTATAAAGGTATGGAAGATGGAAAGAAAATTACATTTAGTGGTGAAGGTGATCAAGAACCAGGTCTTCAACCAGGTGATATTATTGTTGTTTTGGACGAAAAAGAACATACTACATTTAAACGAGACAAAACCGATTTACATATGAAAATGCAAATAACATTAACTGAATCATTATGTGGTTTTCATAAAGTTATTAAAACACTTGATAATCGACAATTAGTTATTACTTCATTACCAGGTCAATAAAACTAATTTATTTTATTTATTTATTTTTTTGTTTATTTTAGGTGAAATTATAAAACCTGGCGATATAAAATGTGTTTTAAATGAAGGCATGCCGGTTTATCGAAATCCATTAGAAAAAGGTCGTCTTGTACTTCATTATGATGTGAAATTTCCTGATAAAAATGAATTACGCCCCGAAAGTATCGCAAAATTAGAAAAATTTTTGCCACCACGTACACCAGTTCAAATACCCATGAATGCCGAAGAATGCGTTTTGGTTGAATATGATCCACGTCAATCTCAACGTTCGCATAGACATGAAATGTATGATGACGATTCAGGTCATCATGGTGGAGCAACACAAGTCAATTGTGCAACACATTAATTGACTCATTGACATCAATATCTTTTTCTTCAATTTATCACTCTTGGATTATTTTTTTTTTCTTGACATACGTGTGTGTGGAAGTAATGGAGTAATATCTTGAAAAGGAAAAAAAACACGATCTAAATAAAGAAGAGAGAGAAAGTATTTATTTTCTACATTTTCTTCTTATGTTAAACTATTCGTGAAATACTTTGATATTGTTTTATGTTAACACAATGATCTTCTATTGAATCACTAACTTCACATGCTATTCAAACGATTTCAATAGATAAAATTCATTCAATCCATAAGAATCATTGAATTTGATTATGAACTTTAACACTCAACAGACTGTGAATTATAAGAGAATATATTGTGGCGGAAAAAAGTTTAGAGAAACTATATTTTTCAGTCTTCTTCTCGATCGTAATCATTAGCAAGAATCTAAAAAAAATTATGCAACTAAAAGAATTCTCTAACGGGATTGGTAGATTCAAAGATTTCAACAAAACTACTTGGATGAGAGTCTACGGAAAACCAACTTTCTAGTTTCCATTCGATGCTTTTGGAAAAAGACTTTATTTGATAGAAAAAGATTCGGCCTCTTCATGATCTTCTTTCCTCAAACTGCATTCAATTTACAGAAAGCCCCAAAGCATTGAACATGGGAAAAATATTGAGATTTTCAAAGAAAAAGGAAGAGAAACATGCTTCTGAAGCCTTTTGTAAATCGAAAAGAGATTGATGAAGGAAAATTATATAAAGATCGAAGATGTCTGATCTTGTTTTATCAAACAAAATCTTTTTCCAAAAGCTTCGAATGGAAACCAGAAAGCTAGTTTTTTGCAGACTCTCATCTAATGAGAGAAGGTCCTCAAGTACGATCCGCCGTTTTGAATCGGATGCATACTAGATTTTAGACTACGATGAGATTAGAAAAAGCTTAGAAGAGTTCCTTTTCACTCCTTGAATTATGACCATGTTATTAAATTTTCGGCATGTAGCAAGGCAAATATACGGAAGTTCAAGTCTAGAATTTCTACCTGAAGCCTTTGGGCATAGATAGTTCTCGTGGCCATGAACATGTTTTCACACATTCGGCTCAAAAGAATGTTTTCTTCTTGAGATATTGAACATCTAAAAACTGATTATATGTCAAGAAAGGAAAAGTTCAGTGCCGTCAACATCCAATGTCTTAAGGAGACATTCTTTTGGACCGAAAATTTGAAGTCATTCTAATGACCATAAGAACTAACCATGTGCAAAGTTTCAGACGAAAATTCTCTTATTCGATTCTCTTAAAAGTTTATTTTCAGATTTCAAAAATCCAATAAAACATGATCACCATTCGAGAAGACCAATTCTGATAGAGAATTCTTTCAACTACACAAACGTTTTTTTTTTCAGATTCTTGTTAGCCATTATCATCAAGAATAAAGCTTTAAAATATAGCTACTCTAAACTTATATTCGCTACTATAATTCAATTGGCCTCAAAAATATTATTCATAAACATATATTTATCAATAAAGAAAATCTGTATATGTTTGCCTATTTTAGAAAACAAAAGTGGAATTTAAAAACTAGACTGTTACATGTTAAATGTAAATAAAAAAAAATGCCATGCCAAAAGTGTTTTTCTAGGCCATTGAGACTTCGTCGTATATAAGTTTCAATCACACAAGACAATAATTCAAATATACTTTGAGTCGATCAATACTTCTGATAGCATTCAATAAAAATATAAAGATAAAGAGATAGATTTAATTTAATTTTACTAAATATTCAAAGTTTCATTCTTTCTAACAATTTGCCAAATGTTTTTTTTTAAGCTCTTCTTCTGAATTATTTTTTAAACATCCTGAAATTCTCATCAACTAATGATTTTTCTTTTCTTTAGTCTGTCACGTGATGCCAAGTCTAATGAAAGTTGTGGATGCGACATTATATTGATATTTTCTGGTATTAAATAAGTAATAACATCTACCCAGCTAGTTCAGAAAACGACATTTTGTCATTTGAACCAGCATGTATTGTCTAAAGTAACCGATTGTCACACCTAAATATCGTTTCGAAGCAGAAAATGGCAAGGAATTACCTCTCATAAATGGCATGTAACATTTCGATGCCGTTTATGAGGAGCAATTTTCTGCTTCGAAACGGTGTTTTGGTATGATAAACGATTATTCTAGACAATATATACTAGTTTCAGTGACAAAATACTCCTTTTTGAACTGTCGGGGAGTGTGTCTTATTCATTTATGGGATATTAAAGCTTAATTTTCATTCACTCTTTAATGAATACAGGTTTTAAGCAAAATTCTATGTAAACCTAAGAACAGCGTTTGGTATTTTCATCATCAAGTAATGAGTCATCATTATTCTATGTTTTGATATCAGATCTTAAAAAGCGTAGTTAGATTCATTTTCTAGAATTCGAATGAAAATAACTTTGATTTAATTATATTATTCTTGTTTCAAACTTCGTCTCTGGTCTCAGTTTTTACTCATATAAACTGAAAAACATGATAAAACTAGTTATGTTCTGTTCTTAGGTGTTTTTATTTGTTTGTCTTGAATAGAGATGTGTGGGACCAACTTTTTTTGGTCCCGATTCCAGTCCCACACATCTCTAGTTTTGAAATATTTAAATTAAAAACTTGAATTCGAAGGTTTATTTCTGACTGATGACTAAACCGTATGGAATAATACTTAAATTTTAATAAAAAACAACTTCTTTTAAGATATTTTAAGCATATAATAATTAGTATATTACTACTGGTATTATTAATATAGCTGTCGCATTTTTACTGTTATCAAATATATTGTTCGATATTTCTGAGATACAATAAATAGTATTAAATACTTTTCTCCCGTTATTTTGTCATATCATATTTGTATAGCATCTTGTCTTCAGTCTTCGCTTTTTTTTCTCTATTTATTTTTATATGCAAATTTGATCGGGATTCATTTTTTCTTTACTCTATAACGGAAATTGTTTATAACAAAACAATTTTTATTATAACATAAAAGCTCTCCCTACACAGTTATGTTGTTCTTGTATCCCGCAAACTGATTGGTCCGAATAGTTATTCAATAATGGCAATCTTTTTAATATTTCTCTCATCTACGTAAATGATTAGTCAATGTTTTATTTTAGTTTTAGATTGATATTGTAGGTCATTTATTTTTTCTAGAAATTTTAGATGATTTTTTTAACTTATTAAATTTTTATTTGTAAACGATGTTTTTAAACTTGGATACAACTGCACAAGAACGACACCGTGGTACCCACACTCTTTGATGTGCCCTATCAATTAAATTATTTAGTGTAGAGAGTGTCGTTCTTCTGCAGTTGTACCGCTTCTGATTAGCATGAAGGTAAATTAATGATTAAATAATCATTATTTTATTTAAAAATTTAACTATTATAGGTCATCATCAATAATATATGTAATAGGATTGGTTTTTATATTGCTAAGGAGAATACAGTAAACTGAAAAATAATTGTAAAAACGTATTAAACAAAAGAAAATGCACTAAAGTTTGATATTAATCAAGGTAACTGATAAAAAGAAAAAAAAAATTATTTTTATTCAAGAAAAATAAATCACTTTGTTTCAGTAGGTATCGAAGATGGCGCGAAGCTTATATTTAATAACGAATATGATCATAAATCAGATCTTCAACTAGACAATATGAAAATCATTTTAATTTTTTAATTTGAGTGTTCAATCAATAGTGTTTTCTTGCATTTTTTGTTTCATCCTCGCCTTAGTTTTTTTTTTCTTTGTGTGCATATGTTTGAGTGCATTATTATTATGAGATGATATCTCGACAACAAAGAAAAGACATGACCTAAATATTATCTCGAAGGATAGTAATGTTTGGGAATAAATACAAAAATAAGAGATGTAGTTTTTGCCTTTCATCACTACCCTTATACGTCAATCAAAAGATGATTATGAGAACTACTTTCGTTGAATACGAAAATTTTTGAAGAAAAACTCCGAGTTCTATTGATGAAAGTTTATCTATTCGAATAGATTTCTGTAGATGTAAATGAAATGGTTCTGTCAAAACGAGAATCTTTAAGCTGAGTTCATTCTAATTTAGTATAATCAAAATGCATGATGCATCTTTCTTTTAAATGAAGTTTAACTGTCCCAAAAAATTTTTTTCCTACGAACAAATAAAATTATTCTGTTTCAAGAAGCTCTTTTTCAAAAACTTTGGTACCTGATGATTACCAAATCCAAGTGAGTTGAGTCATTTAAGACTAGATCTGAATGTTAGAGATCATATCTAAATTTTAGTTCAAAACTACATCATATCAAATAAATCTCAAGAGGAACATTTATACATATGTTAAATATGTTTTAAATAATTTTAGATGTCTACATCATCATTATTATTATCTAATCTTCGTATTCTTGTTCATCCTCATTATTCATTTAATATATTTTTATCGGTTTCTTATCTTCTATTAAAGCAATTAATACCAAAATCTTTATCTTCATATGTATTTACAAATGATACAATAACAGCACAAGATACTCAAATATTATTACTTTTAGCAACAATAATAACAATTCGTGGACGAAAAGCATTAACATGGTTACATTATATTGATAATGTTTGTAAATATTCGAAAATGGCAAATTCTCTATTATTTTATCGTGAAGGATCTTATGTTTTATTGATATTCTATGCAATATTATGTCTTCTTCATTTTCTTTTTTTTCCTCCACCGGAACCAACAGGTAAAACAAATATTTTTTATTATCGTGCAAATAATTTAGATAATGAAATTCGTGCTGATCCTCGTTTAACATGGTTTGTTTGTTTTTATGCTCCATGGTCTCCTCCATGTCAAAATTTTTCCAGTGTTTTTGTTGATTTATCAACACGTTTTGGTGATTTAAAAACATATAAATTTGTTAAATTTGATGTTAATCGATATCAAGCTGAAGCAACTAAATTTAAAATTGATACATCAACATTTTCGAAACAATTACC